CCCAGGGTGACAGCTTGAGGCTCTGTCTCAAAAAAAAAAAAAAAAAACAAAACAGTCACACTGTACTCTTAATAGTATAGAAAAGTATCATTGCATTGGGTACATTAGCTTGGATCCCCCCCAAACTCTCCCTCCTCCCTGCCTCCCACCTCCCCTTCGCTCTCTTTCCTCATCCCTCCTTTCTGGACTATAGTTATGTTTTACCATTCCTATGAATGTGTTTGTGATTATATACTGATTTCATAGTAGTATTGAATACATTAGATACTTTTCCCCCCCATTCTTGAGATACCTTACTAAGAAGAATATGTTCCAGCTCCATCCAGGTAAACATAAAAGATGCGAAGTCTCCATCTTTTTTTATGGCTGTATAGTACAGTTCTTTAATTTTTCATAGTACAGTTCTTTAATTTTTAATTATTCGAGCTTAGAGAACCCAAAATACCCAGCTCATAAAGCAAAGAGTCACCTTTGACTTCTTGACTCTCATCCAATATCACTAAATCCTGGTTCTCTGTAATTTCCCTCAAATTTATCCCTAACAACATTGCTTCTCTTTCAAGGGTTTATCCAGCCTGCCTGCTGTTTCCAGTTAAGCCACTAGTCCAGTGGTTCTCAACTTTCCTAATGCCATGACCCTTTAACACAGCTCATCATGTTGTGGTGACCCCCAACCATAAAATTATTTTCATTGCTACTTCATAACTGTAATTTTGCTACTGTTATGAATCGTAAGATAAATATCTGATATGCAAGATGTATTTTCATTGTTACAAAGGGGTCGCCCTTTGTAACCGGCAGGAGAATTGTTTAAGCCCAAGCACAAGTTGAGAACTGCTGCTCTAGTCCAGCCTCTTTATTGTAGCAGAGCAGATCAGACACGAGTCTGACCATATCACTTGTACTTATGGTTCTCCTCTATCTGTAGAGACTTCTGAGTTCTGTCAGTTCAGAATCAGAAGTCAGCATGTATTCATAATTACGGTGAATCAAGAAAGAGGTATAGCATAGTGGTTAAAAGCACGGGCTCTTAGTAACCAGAAGCAGAAATGTAAATGTCCTTGAGACTATGAAAAGAAACATGTCCAATCTCTCTTAAAGTGAGATGAAAATTTCAAAGTACACTGACTATCAGTACACCTTGAAACTATTCACATCAAGGTCATTAAAAACAAGGAAAGTCGGCTCGGCACCTGTAGCTCAGCGGCTAGGGCGCCAGCCACATACACCAGAGCTGGTGGGTTAGAACCCAGCCCCAGTCTGCCAAACAACAATGACAACATCAACCAAAAAATAGCTGGGCTGGACGGCGCCTGTGGCTCAAAGGAGTAGGGCGCGAGCCCCGTATACCGGAGGTGGCGGGTTCAAACCCAGCTCCAGCCAAAAAATAGCTGGGTGTTGTGGCAGGCACCTGTAGTCACAAGATTCTGTAGGCAAGAGAATCATGTAAGCCTACAAGTTTGAGGTTGCTGTGAGCTGTGATGCCACAGTACTCTACCCAGGGTGACATAGTGAGACTCTGTCTCAAAAACTTAAAAAAAAAAAGGAAAGTCTGAAAATCTGTCACAGGTAACAGGTACCAAAAGAAACATGATGACTAGAGTAATATAGTATTCTGGAACAGGAAAAAAGACAGTAGATTAAAACTAAGGAAATGTGAATAAACTATGCACCTTACATGATAACGTTCATTAGCTGTGATGAATGTATTAGTTATGTAAGATCAATTAACACAAAGGGAAGGAAACTGACCATAGGTATATGGAACTTTGTGCTATGCAACTTTTCTGTAAATCTAAAACAGTTCTAAAAATTAAAGTTTGTTTTTTACTTTTATTTATTTATTTTATTTATTTTTGAGACAGAGTCTCACTTGGTCACCCTTGGTAAAGTCCCGTGGTGTCTTAGCTCACAGCAATCTCAAACTCTTGGGTTGAAGTGATCCTCTTGCCTCAGCCTCCCAAGGAGCTGGGACTACAGGTGCTTGCCACAACGCCCAGCTATATTTTAGAGACGAGTCTCACTCTGGCTCAGGCTGGTCTCAAACCTGTGAGCTCAGGCAATCCACTAGCCTCGGCCTCCCAAGTGCTGAGATTACAGGTGTGAGCCACCACGTCCAGCTCTAAAGTTTGTTTTTTAAAAGTACACCTAAATATAGCATGATGCCTGTAGCTCAGTGTGTAGGGTGCTACCCACATACACCAAGGCTGGCAGGTTCAAGCCCGGCCCTGGGCCTGCTAAACAACAATGACAACTGCAACAAAAAATATGGCCAGGTGTTGTGGAGGGTGCCTGTAGTCCCAGCTACTCGGGAGGCTGAGGCGGGAGAATTGTTTAAGCCCAAGAGTTTGAGGTTGCTGTGAGCTGTGACATCACAGCACTCTACTGAGGGCATCATGGTGAGACTTGGTCTCAGAAAAAAAAATGTACACCAAAATAACATTTTTAATTTACCATATTGGAAAAGATCCAAAACTTTGATAACACACCTGTTGATGTTGTGGGGCAACAAATACACTTAATACATTGCTGATAGGAATATAAACTGGTGTAACCTCTATGGAGGGCAACTTGAGGATACCATAGAAATCTTAAATGCACATTCCCTTTAAAGTAGCAATTCAACTATAAATAATATCCTCAAATATATATGTATCATTAGTCATTGGGACATTATTTGTAACAACGCTAGAATCAACTTAAGAATCCAAGAACAGGGCGGCACCTGTGGCTCAGTAACTAGGGCCCTGGCCCCATATACTGAGGGTGGTGGATTCAAACCCAGCCCTGGCCAAACTGCAACAAAAAATAGCCGGGCATTGTGGTGGGTGCTTGTAGTCCCAGCTACTCAGGAGGCTGAGGCAAGAGAATCACCTAAGCACAGGAGTTGGAGGTTGCTGTGAGCTGTGATGCTACAGCACTCTACCAAGGGTGATAAAGTGAGACTCTGTCTCTAAAAAAACAAAAACAAAAACAAACAAAAAAAAGTATCCAAGAACATTATTCTATGAAAAGGTATCATTCAGTGAAAAAATATGCAACAGTTATTAGATGAGGCTTGGAAAAAAATATGCAACAGTTATAAGATGAGGCTCCCCGGGGCCAGCCACATACACCAAAGTTGGCAGGTTTGAACCCAGCCTGGGCTAGATAAAACAATGACAACTGCAACAAAAAATAGCTGAGCGTTGTGCTGCCTGTGGTCCCAGCTACTTGGGAGGCTGAGGCAATAGAATCGCTTAAGCCCAAGAGTTTGAGGTTGCTGTGAGCTGTGATGCCATGGCACTCTACCCAGGGTGACATAGTGAGACTCTGTCTCAAAACAAACAAACCAACAAAAAACAGTTACAAGATGATGGAATTCTCTATGGACTGCTCATGAACAATCTCCAAAATATATTTAGTGCAATAGCAAGGTGCAGAACAATATGTATAGTACACTTCTATTTGTGTGAAAAAGGTGGGGGAGAGATATGTATGCGTGTGTGTGTTTGCTTATATATGCACAAAATATCTCTGGAAGAACTCACAAATGGCCAGTGAATATCTCCAGGTAGGGAAATGGCATGGCCAAGGGACAAGGGCAGGAGGAACTTTTCCTTCATTGTATTTTTTTTACCCATTGACTTTTGAATTGCATAACTGTATTACCTAGTCAACACTCTTTTAATTAAAGAGAACTCTTCTTATATCACAAAGGGTTAAAGAAAAAAGATTGGGGTTCTGGGGAAGTGGATCACACTGCTTGGATCTGAATCCCCATTCTCAGTTGTTGATAATATAGCACTGAACTTTTGCTTTGGCAAGTTACTAGATTATGAGAGTTTCAGTAAGTTTCTTTAACTGGTCTAGGCCAGTTTCTTCACTTGTAAAATGGAGAAAATATCTCCGAGTAGGGTGACTATAAAGCACTGTACAAAAGAATGGTTTTACAGTCACTCCATGATTAGGTGGTCATCTATGAGTAAATATTCCATGATTATCCAGTAGGTTCAGACTTATTCAAACTGGTTTGTATTGCCATGTTCAAGTTAGAGCAAAAGACCAAAAGAGCAGCTACTGCAGCTACTGGAAACCATTTTAGTACTTCCTGAGACCTTCTAGAAGATTGAAAATATCATGGTATGTGACAGAGTTACCCCAAACCTGTCATATGCAAATGACTGTGCCCTTGAAGCACAATAGGCAAATCAATGTAGACATTAACATGTATCGCTCCATGGCTTTGGCACAGAACGTGAGCTCAATGTAAGCATAAACAAAACGTGATCAGGTAAACCCCACATGGTGGTAGAGCTAAATTTTGCTGCTTTAACCAAATTGTTCACATTGACATAGTTGTCAATAAGGAATTAGAAAAATACACCAAAATTGCTTGTAGGCTTGTCCTCTGGGAAGGTGGCAAAGGGTGGAACAAATATTACACTGACCAAACCCTCGCACAAAACTTGTGTACAACTTCTAATAAAATATACAGCCTCAT